ATTTGGGCTAAATTCATTCAGCCCAAAGGCCAGTGACCTTCGACCAATCACAGCGCAGTAGCCTACAGTACAGTGACCTTAAATCTTCCATTTTATAGAATAATATATAAGAATTATAATTATATATAATAATATATAAAAATACATCAGTTCTGCTGAATTTATTTGACAGAAAATGGATCTTTTAGAAAGTCAAAATCGACTCCCATGTATTTTATTTTTAATTTTAATTTCTAATTTTCAGGATATTTGTCCATTTTAATCCATTTCCAGGTGTTTCCATGACTTCCAGGGTGCGTGGAAACCCCTTCCTGTTTGAGGCCACACTACCAGATACAGGATCCACAGCGCTGCTGTAAACAACAATAACCTTCAACCCTTTAAAGAAGAATATTCCAGATTCCAGATGTGTGAGAAAGGGTTCTGTTGTCCACAGTAAATATATTTATTTATATTTAATTGTTAAAGAGAGGAAGCAGAATATCTCTCAGATGTTAATATTGACCGTTTTAAAGTCCACAGTTGTACGAGTGAACCTTCAGAGACTGTTTGTACGAGGACCCGCAGGGCGCCGCGGGGGTCCTAGTCCCTCCTGGTTCTGGATCAAAGACAAACACAAACATCACTTCCCCCTCGGGGACGACTCCTCTCTGCCATAATTAGCTCCTGATTCAGTATCACACAGAGAGTCTCATTACACAAATAAAGCTCTTCTGTTCATCTACATCAACACCGTCAATGCTAACGCTAACACTGCTAACTAAACACATTCTTTCACTGGACTCATATTTATTTTATTAGATAGATACCTGTAGAAGGAAACTTTAATCATCATCAGTCCTTCCGTCAAACTACTGCTAGCATGCTAATGTTAGCATGATAACCATTAACCCTAACCATTCAGTCCGATCCCAAGATACCACAACATGCTAGATGTGACAGAAGTTTGTCAAGACCACATGAAGTAACATATTAAACACAGCACGTTATCATGCTAACTATGAGCATTAGCATTATAATGCTATATAATAAGAACCATGCATGATACTATTAGCATTTTAGCTAATCTGGTTCGCTCTCATTGAAGTCAATGGGTTGTTTGAATGTGTTTTTGGTTCAGTGATGAACAGTCAGTAAATATTCCACCTGTGAACGTTGAAGCTTTTACTAACGAGGTTGAGACTCGACTTTGACTTTCAGGCTCGTTTATACTCTGAAAACTATTCTGACTCAAACTTGACAAGATTTTAATTAAAGATCACGTTAAGTTGGAAGTTCAGTGGTGGTGAAGTCATGTGACGTTGCTGTAGTTGGTTTACAGGCTAACGTTAGCTTGTTTTGGAGTTCATTAGTAAAGATTATCTTCCATTATGTTCTCCACACAGTTCAATTAGACCTTCTGTCATTAATATTTAAACTTTAAACTGAACAAGCACACGTTCTTTATGATGTGATTTGTATGTTCAGTAGATTCTGTGTTTTTGTGGAGGGACTCTGGCGTGTTGAGCTCACTGAACTACAAACAGGAAGATGAATGAGGTTCAGATCAGACGACCGACTGCAGGCTGTTTGATTGGTTGTTCTTCAGAGAACGCAGCGTCTGATTGGTCGTTGCGGTTCGGCCTGCAGCTCTCCTCCACCTGACAGAGACTGAGATCAGAGACTGAGCCGGTCCCACAGAGTCCTCACCTGCAGGTCTCTACAGGATCTGACGAGACCACCTGAATAAATAAAGCTACTGACTGTGAGCCGCAGAGGTCAGATAAAGCAGGGACTGAGCTTCTTTCAGAGCTGAAATGTTTCACCTACTTTTACTTGAATAAACTTGAATAAACTTTACTATGAACAATAAATAATAAAAAACTAGAATTATTTCAGTCAGTTTACATCCATAATATAGAAATATTATATAATATAAAGTGTATTTTATCACTACATTGATGATATATATTAGTGCCGCAGCTATCGTTGAGTTAAGTAATTGTGTATCGATCATTCCATTGATTAATCAAATTTAGAAATACTTTTTCTTTATTAAAGCAATAGTAGAAATAGATCAATAATAAATATACAAAAGATAAAATGAGACAGTCTTGTTACATTCAGAGTTTCATCTGGGAGTATTTTCAGTCTCCACTGAACTGTAGTGGAGTATTTACACACTGTGGTATCAGTACTTTTACTGTAGT